CCCGGGATGTTGTTTTGATGTGAGTGGAGACATATCAGGCAGTGGAAGCCATCTGAGCTCAGCATATGTTCAAGATGCCCTTTGGCAATGGCAGTGGCATATGTTCAAGATACCCTTGGCTATTTCTTTCACCCATTTATGGGATTTGTAAAACCCCTTTGTGATCATGGCTATTTAAGCAAGTTGTTAATGGTCATGGCTAAAAGTGATTTTTTTTTAAACACACCTATAACACTAGAATACTTTTTTCTTTAAAAACAATATGATAGGTTTAGGACAGTGGTTTTATGTCAGATCCTTGCACAACTTTTTAAAACCCTGACAGAACCTGATGTGGAAGCACGGTTCTGACATTTTCCAACTTTTCACTCTTCTGACTCCCCTTATATCTACATGGAGACATTTAATATACGAATAAAATATTTTTGTTTGTTTATTGTGTGTATATTTGTTTGTATGTTAATGTATATTCACATTTTAACATATTATAAGGAAATAACATCATCCAAATTGGAACAGTTTTATTTAAATAAATTCAATACTTTAAACATGTGTAAGTTTTACACATACTGTCTCACACACAGTCACACTCATATAAGCGGTATGCCCAGATATGTACACACTCAGTCATACTATTTCATTCTTTCTTTCATTCACACACATACTAATTTATTCTCCGACACACTCAGTCACACAGAAACATTCATTCTCTTGTTTACACAAGTGCATACACAGGTATGCACAAGTAAACACAAGTGCTTGTGCAAGTATATAAAAAAGATGAAGGTGACTGTGTGTGCATGTGTGTGTGTGTGTGAGAGAGAGAGAGAGAGAGAGAAATTGTGTGAGAGACTGTGAATGCATTAACTGAGAAAGAGAGTCAGAAAAAGAGCATTATTGGGTGTGTGTGTGAGGAATAGTGCATGACAAAAATTCACTCACACATCAAGAGAGTTACTGGCTTGGGATGTGTTGTCCCCCCGGCTACAATCCAGGAACCTTCCTCATTCTCCTCCTCCTCAAAGAAGAATTGGCTGCTGCAAACATCGTCCTCGCCTTTCTCTTCCCCTCCAGGACAGAAAAATTTTGGGAAGAGAAGCGAAGGGAGGGGGAATCAGGGCCTGCAAGTCTCAACACCCCTCTGAGTAACTCTCATGCCCCCCAGGAGTCCTACACCATCATTTGAGAACCACTGGTTTAGGGCACTTGTAAGAGTTTAAGGCTAATTTTAATTTTTAAAAAGACTTTCAGGTCACTGCCATTAACCATTAAGGAAAGTGCATAGCAAAACAGATGTTCTGCGTGCAGTAGGGGTACAGTGCTATAACACTTCCATTTAGGGGGCATTTTAGTCTTTTTAAAAGAAAATACAGCACAGCAAGTATATTAACACTGTCCAAAATGGTGGATCAACATGCAGATCATGGACCACATGCATACACAAATCTCTGTTTCTCACCAA